AGAGAAAGAGAAAGAATGTATTTGCCGGCTCTTGTTTACCTGCCGAAGCTAGCCGAGGGCTGACGTCACACGAATAACAAAATGCCTTTGTGTGCGTAAGGAGGGGGAAAGCGCCGCGCGCCGTGAGCCGCGTCGCCTGCGCCCTTCAATCAGACATCGTTGATTGGAAGAAGCACAACGAGAGAGAGATTCGGTCGCGCGGATCCGCAAATTATAGTTTTACTCTTCAAAAATACATATAGCTTTAATAATCTTTTTAAATTGGAGTAATTAACTAATCATTCAAATTTTTATTAAGAAAGAATTTAAATAATATGCACGAAAAAATTTTTTATTGTACTAATACATTTTTGGCGTATTAGAATTATAACTCAAGTATCATATAGCTTAGGTTTCTCATAATTAGTCGTTATCGATCACAGAGAATTTTATCGAATCAACAGAAAGATGTGATATGTCGATCGTTTATTAACAATACGCGTATTTCACAGAATTTACACCTTTATGAAATGTATTACGCGTGCAGTACTGAATTTCGATCGTATATTTTTTGGACAGCTCGTCGCGTCATAATTAGTTAACTCGACTTCAATAATTGTGTCATATCGCACGGCGTTGGAATTTTTTGGTCGTTAACGGTATGTGATTCGGAACGGGTCGACTCCGAGTCAAGCTGCGCGCGGTTTAATTAGCAAGTACAGTCGTAACTAACTCCGTGTTTTAATATTTGTCAACCGCGTGGAATCAATTCGTTAAAGCCCTCGCTTCCGTTCGTGATTCATCCGTTACGTTAATTTCTTTGCGAGACTTTGCAAGTATCGAGCGGATCGTAGATCTGTACGCGGTTATAATTTTTTGTGTTTATTTTTCTGCCGCAGAGCCGCAGTAATAAAGTGTGCAGCTCGTGCGATTAACGTCGGGGATGCTGTGTAAAATGGCGCGGGATCATCATATTTTAATGATTGGTGTGCGCGCGATAATTAACCATGTTTCCACGAGTGCGGGGTTGTGTCGTGTGAGTGCAACAAGGAAATCTGAGAGGAGGAGGAGGCCTGGGAGGCATCAGGCAACGACGGAGCAACCGTGGGGTAAGCATTTTATTATTTATTTATTATTCGTTACTTGCAGAGAAATAATCGTTTCTGGATTATATAATTATTTCATTATAAATAAATATCTTTACTTGAAAAATATCTCTATTTTCTTGGATAGAAAATTTAAAAAATACACGTGACATTCATTATATATAAATATGTTAATTATTTTGATTATTTATTATATTAATCATATTAATTATTTTGAACGATGTTGTAATTTTATTATCTTTGTCTTTTACAGTTGTTCCGCTGGTGTGCATCGTATTGGTGAGTGCTAGATTATCTTTTTGATTTAATTTAAGGTAATGGATCTACGTGAAAATCATATCATATATAAAACGTGCATAAAATTTCACATTAAAAGTATAAAATATTACAAATAGACATATCTCATAGATCTATTACCTTAAAATGGATGAGCTATTCATTATAATATTTAATCCAATATGTGCGTGCGTAAATTATTTATCGATTTATTGTGCATACGAGCATGCACTTA